TAAGTTAATGCTCACAGATGTTCAGGCAGACATCAAACTTATGAAATTCCCTTCCTAACCCAAAATTCAACTGTAGTGTGCATTTAGTGTAATAGAAAACATTCTCCCAGTAAATGGCAAACCCTTTTGTAATTGAAACCTTGACAAATTTAAAACAAATTAAGCTTTTTCCAGGTAATTAACAACTTTTTGGGATACCTGACTACACTGTCACAGGGAGAGGTCTGTGGGCATCAATGTAATATTTGTTAATCATGTTATGACTGACTTAAACATTGCTCTCTAGAGGTTAAACTCTTAGGGCAGCAAGGTAAGGAGACAGACTAGAATCCTTTCAGGATGCCTGAATGAGTGTTACAGACGATGAAAGACAATTTAAAATAGATTAATCGTGGCTTTTCCATTCATGGGATGTAAAATAAAAATGTTTCATTGATTTACATTGAGTGTCCTCTCACTTAAGTGTTCAGTTGTAGTGACTTTGCAGAAATTGAAAACATAAATGTGAAAGAGAAAAAAATACACTCCATCAACTGTGTAGTTAGTGTTATTGCCTTGAATTGCATGATTATACTGGCAGCTGCCAACTAAAATAAAAACAATCAAGGGGATACTATCATTGCTTGCTCCTTCTTAATATTGAAAAAATCTGGATAAAGGGCAAAACGCAGAAAGATACTGTCAAAATTAAACATGATCAGAGTAAGCAAATGAACTAAATCAACAGCCTTGCAAATTGTCTTGTAAAATTTTAGAAAACATTGAAGAATAAGCTAACTTAACCAAGTAGTAGATGGAAACTTTATATTTTCTTTCAATTGATATTTAAACAAATACCTTATAATTGATATCTTGCTCAGCGTTTTTTATTGAAGTGCTTTTCTGGTTTCACAATACAGAAATTAAATAACTTACCGAAACAATCATATAGATTGGATAAAGCATCTGCCAATCTGAAATGATTAAAAGCATTATACATTCTCAGTTTGCTATTCAGCAAACAGTCTAACACATTTATTAGAACATTCATGTCTCAACTGCTTGAGCTGGGACAGAGAGAGGAAACTGCCTGAGAATGGCTAATGTATTCTCAGGTTGGTTCAGATGGCAGCCAGGAAGTGATTACAGTGCATCTGATATTACCAGGTTCTTTCTCTAAGGTGATATTGAAGGAAATCATTATTCTGCCCTAAATGCTGACCAGATTTACCTAACTGTGGAGGATATTGGATAGATCAATCAAAAAGGTGTGCATGGATTCAGTTACTACAAGCAGTGATCTGTGAACATATAGGTCCTTCTGCTCCTGCAAACCCCTTAGAATTGTATCCCCTATTTTATATGGCCTTTCAATGTTCCTCTGACCAAGTACATCACCTTACACTTTTCTGCATTGGACCTCACTTGCCACCTATCCACCCGTTCCAGCAACCATCCAAAGACCTTCTGTACAATGAACTGGCCACTGAATCATGACCTCCACAGCATTCATAGGTCTGTGAAAAGTACATCTGCAAGTGAGGTAAGATGATAGTGGATACTGACATTGACAATTGGGAGACAGTTGTTGACAGCTGTGGCCTCTGCTGGCTTACTATTTGGAAACTCATCAAAAGAGGTGAACAGAAATTTAAAAATTAGCTGGTTGAGAAGAGGTCCCAGAGAAAATCAGAGGTCAGTGAATTCTGCACCTTGTTAGCTCAAAGCCTTCAGCTGCAGCAAATACAACATGAGATTGTTATGCCAGAGTGGAGCTCTGTTACATCAGCTTTTTATTCAGTTGATTATCATAGCCCAAACCATTGACGTACAAGATAGAAGACTGCCAAGTTGTTACTTTACTTTCACCCAACCTCGGTGAATGGGTTGCAAGTAAGACAGTTACAGGATATTTGCTTCTTCTTTACATGAAAAACTGGGTAAAGGCTATCATTACATGCCTGACAAAAGTTTCCCACATTAGGAACTGTGAATAACTACTGAAGCACCCATGGTCAATTGTTGGCTGGAATATATAAGTTGTACAGAGAATACAGATGTACAGGTCTGTTCATCCACACTGTTTCCTGGGTTAATTATGAGCACAGTTATGAGAGGTGGTCACAGCAGCAGTAATTTCAGGGAAGCTTGGATAGTAAAAACTGCAGCTGATTAAGCAGTCTTATACACTCAAGGAGAAGTAGTGCTATCAAGCAGCAATAACTTGGCAATCGCTCAGTTTGGACCATCCATCTCCTGACCTGATTATGACCTTGGTTCAAACATGGACGGAACAGGTGAATTCCAGAGATGATGAGGTGAGAATGACTGTCCTTGATATAAAGGTGCAATTTGACAGTGTGACAATAGGAAAATTCGAATCAATGGGAATCAGGGGAAAAACTTTTCCTTGACTAGAGTAATATCTGTTATAAAGGTGGGTGAATTCATGTCAATTCTAGGACAAAAAAGAAAGAACTGTGGATGCTGGAAATCAGCAACAGCTGGAAAAACTTAGCCAAAGGAGAGTCAATTCACATGAAGCGTTAACTTCTGCTTCTCCCTATAGATGCCAGACCTGTTGAGCTTTTCCAGCAAATTCTGTTTTTTGTTTCGGTTCTAGGGCATCTCTGCATGAGTTCTTTAGGGCAACATCCTGGTCTCAACCATCTTCAGCTGCTTCGTCGGTGAACTTCACTGCACCATAAGGTGATATTTGCACAATGTTCAGCACCATTCACCACTCCTCAGATACTTAAGCAGTCCAGGTTCAAATATAGCAAAACTTGGACAATATCCAGGTTTGGGCTGACAAGTAGCAATAGACATTCGTGGCACTAGGCTCCAGTCAATGACCATCTCCAACAAGACAGAATTTCACTATTGCCCATGGGGATTTAATGGAATTATCACCACTGAATTCTCCACTTTCAATATCCTGGGGGCTTACATTGACCTGAAATTGAACTGTACTACACACACAAAAACAATGGCTATAAGAGCAGGTCACAGGCTCAAAATTCTGCACACATTAACTCACCTTCTGACTCTCTGAAGCCTGTTCACCATCTACAAGGCACAAGTCAGGAATGTAATGGAGTATTGCCCATTTTCCTGGATGAATACAGCTACAAACAACCCTCAATAAACTTGACACCATCCATTAACTTAATAGGCACCACATCTACAAACATTTACTAATTCCACCAGCATCGCTCAGTAGTACCAGTGCGAACCATCTACAAGAAATTCACCAAGATGGCATAGATAGCAACTTCTTAACCGATGTTCATTACCATCTGGAAGGACAAAGGCAGCAGATACATCCAAACACCATCATATTCAAGTTCCCATCAAAGTCATTTACCATTCTGACTTGGAAAAATGTCACCAAGCCTTCAGTGTTGCTGGGTTAAAATCCAGGCACTCTCTTTCTGATGGCATTGTGGGTCTACCAACACCAATGGACTGCAGAGGTTCAAGAATGCAGCTCACTACTATCTTTTCAAGGGCAAATAGGGTTGAGCAATAAATGCTGGCCCAACCAACAACAAACACATCCCATGAATGAACAAAAGAAAAGTTATAACCCATTTTGATTAACAGATAATTTCTCACAAATTACCACCCAAACGTTATATGCAGCTCTCTTGTACACATAACATGCTCATAGCATTCATGTTAACCATATTGATTACAGGTGGCTCTCATCATTAAATGACATCCTAATAGAACGGTATCACAAATAAAATAAATGATTAATCACCTGGAGAATGGAGAGGCACATTATGACACATTAAGACAAAACAAATGGTGCAGTTCTGATCAAAGACCATTGCAAATGTGGTTCAAGGCTTGCAAATAAGGTGAAGAAACTGAAGAGTGTCATAATTTTAATGTCCTACTATAATGGGAATTATAAATAATGCCTATAGTGGCACGCACTCTAACTGTTCAAATGTTAGTTAGGTAACATCCCCCTTATCCTAGTTGCAATACTAGGTCAGTGCGTTCAGAGTGTCACAGAATTGTTATGGCACGGAAGGAGGCCATTTGGTCCATCATGCCTGCACCAGTTCTACTTCCCAATGCCAATCTCCTGCCTTTTCCCCATATCTCTGCACACCATTTCTAGCCTAATAATCATCAAATACCCTCTTGAATGCCTCAATTGAACCTGCCTCTACCATATTTCCAGGCATTGTTAAAACTACCTCATTTCTACCTTATTCTTAGACACTAAGTAATGCTACTGCTGAGCTTTTAATCCTCTTTTTGTATAATAAAACTATTGTTTTTTACTCTGGAAGAGTTGTACCTAGGTACTTGTATTTAAGATGGTGCTTTTAAAAGGCAGCCATTGTAAAAACCTTTCACTGTACTCCTGTACTGGAATACAAGTGACAACAAAGGATATTCATTCATTCATTCATACATACCCTAACCATGCGCTGTGTGAAAAATCTCCCTTGCTTCATTTGCAGATCACTTTAAATCTATACACTCTTGCTCTTTTCTCTTTTACGAGTAAATCGACAAATATTGAAACACAACATTGAAAAGATTTAACAGAACACAGAACTCAATTATGAATAGGAAAATATATAATGTAACTATATAAGGCAGCGTGGTGGTTTAGTGGTTAGCACTGCTGCCTCACAGCGCCATGGACATAGGTTCGATGCCAGCCTTGGGTGACTGTATGGAGTTTACATGTTCTCCCCATGTCTGTGTGGGTTTCCACCAGATGTTATGGTTTCCTCCCACAATCCAAAAATGTGCAGGATAGGTGGATTGATCATACTAAAATGCCCAAAGTTTCCTGGGATATGCAGGCTAGGTCATTAGCCATGGTTAATGTGGGGTTGGGGTGGGAAAATCGGTCCAGTTGGGATGCTCTTCAGATGGTCAGTGCAGACTCAAGTGGCCTTTATCTGCACTGTCAGGATTAGATGAACATGTTCTTTATTCATTTATTATGAAGACACAGACTAGAATAGTTTTTTTAACTAAAAGATGATTCTTAAGAAAAACACTGGTTAACAAACCTTTTCTAGGTCTTCTTTCCCCATTGTCAGAAGTGCTCTGAAAGATATCTCATTCTCCTTCAGAAGGTAATAAAAGAAGACACTTTAAAGAGTTAGTATATTTTACAGACAGTTTTAATAGCATGGACTTAAACTCTAGTGGAGGGACATTAACTTGCAACTATATCATAAAATATCAATTACACAGTTTGTAAAATCTCTCTTCATTAACATTTCCACGAGGAATTATAATTAAATTATGCGTTCTGTTATATTCTAACTAACAATTTCACTTACAACTTAAGACCCTTTTGCAAACCATTTACAAATCAACTTGTATATGGGCCACATTTGGGACTTCTATTCTGTAATTGGTTAAAAGATTTCAAGCTTTGAAACTTATAGCTCCATAATGAAAATTACTTATTGTCTTCCATTTTAAAAATGTAACTCACCTGCACTTGAGAGTGTATAAAATGTATGATATTTATCCAAAATAAAAACTAAAATTACAAAAGCAAGGTAATAATATGGGATATTTTAACAGATAGTTTGGTGGCTATATAAAATATCAATGCCAAGAGAATTACTTTTGGCTATCAAAAAATTGAATAAAACATACCTCAAATAGGCCTTGAAGATGTTCAAGTTCAAGTCCAGACAGAAACAGTTGTACATCACCAAAATTTGAAGCTGAACTGTGAAAATTGATTAATACTTCAATATACAATGGGAAAACAATGATTAAAACATCATTTTTTACACAAAAATTAAACCATAATTTCTATTATATATCTAAATTTATTTTCCTTAATAACATGGAGTCCTATGTATATTAGTAAAGTAGGAAGATTTGAAACATATCATATTTGATTGTCCCAAACATTCAATATGACATTAGAGCCATTCCAAATTAAAATGAATGAATGTTATGAATGAATGATTTTGAGGTAAATGAATTATTTTATTGTCATGTGTATTTTAGTGAAAAATACAGCAAGGTAGTGAAAACCTCCACCGTCACCATGATCTACCACCATTTTGAATAGTGAAAGAATAATTTAAAAAAAAAGAAATAGCTTAAAGAGAGCTCAATAAATAAAATGAACTCTCGTTACTTTCCATTGCATGAAACAGAAGAAAAATATTAAGTTTATAGTACACAAAATAACATCAGGAAAAATTGCAGAGATATTGGAATCTTTTGTTCAGGTCTAAAAGTCAGTGAACGAACTCAAAATCTATGAAAATATGTGCTTGCCTATAACTATTTTGTCATTCATTATTTAATAGGGATTAAGATGGATTAAGAAATTATTTCCCTTTATCTGCAGTAATCTTTTGGAAGCATTTCTGTGCAATAACTGACTGATATTTATTCAAGCACATTTAAAACTGTTAAAATAAGTACAGTTGGAAACTACATAAACCATGAGAATTTTTCAAGTTGTTTTATTCCACAGGATTCATTGTCTATTACCATATTCTGCTGTTCTTTCCTGCATTAGAATGATTTATGACATATTTGAAAATCGCCTCCTCTTTCGATACATTCTGCAGTTTTCCCAATAAGGATGAATTTGAAGTCACTGTGAGTAATGACGCTAACTGGAAAGAAAATAAAAAAGGGCATTTATAAATTTCACTGAATTAAACACTGATCTTAATTACACATTGTTTATTATTAATAGTCCACTTATACATTTCTGCACAACAGTTTTGAATTTGAATTTAAGTTTCTTTAGATTTCTAATAAACTTTTGTCAAAATAAAACCTATGACAATAATTTATGGGTTACAAATCTAATATTAAGCATGGACAATAATGAAATAAACATATTAAACACGGGAGTGTTTTAGTTATGTTTAAGCACTTCCATTTTACTGCTAATCCTATTGAATGCACATTCTGAATTATGCAGCTGTACCAGCTGAACATTTGACCAGGATTTCAATTGTTAATGTTGAATACAAAAATTCAGGCATTAGTAGTTCAGCTGATGGATCAGTTCTCAATTACTTTGGGTTTATGGACTTGGTTTGATTCTGGTGGTTTGCAGGAAACATTCAAATGCTTAGGAAATTATTGTTGCTCTTCTGGGACTTCCTTATCTAATGTATAGAGAGCCAAATGTTACTGTTACATCGCCAGTAAACTCAGACAACACAATCTTGATGACCCAATTTGTACAGAGAAACAGGTGAAAATTACAGCCCCAATTCCATATTTATTGGCTGCAATTTTGTTTTTTTTTACCTGCGAATGATGATTTTTTTCAGCTACATCAGCTGGCGTCTCTCCATTTTTGGTCTTCAATGTTTTATCAGCTCCTAACTCAATGAGCTTCAGCACTGTACTTTGGTGGCCTCGACAAGATGCCCATGTCAGTGCCTAAGTTTTATGGAATAGAAAAGTCTATTACAGACCATGTACTTTGACTCCCTATGTAAAATTAATACAGAGGCTGTAACATTTCTATACCCTGGTAACATTAACCTGGTATCTTATTCACATATTTCCCCCCGAAGCAAAATGTCTCTATTATGGTGTAACAAAAATGGCTTTCATTAAAATGTAGTCAAATAAAGAGTGGAGATACTTCTAAGCAAAGGTATTTTTCAAATATTAATGCTAACAATGAGACTTGACCAAAGTTGCATACTGTGTAGCCATTTTCATCTTGAATATTTATTTCTGCTCCATGAGCAACCAGCAGTGTAATAGTCTGAGTATGTCCTTCTCTAGCTGCATACATTAGTGGGGTCATCTGATTCCTGAAAGGGAGAATAAAACAGTTGAACTTGCAACCAAAACACAGCAGATTAATACAACGTAGCAGCTAAAGAAACAATCGTCCAAATAAATTAGAAGAAATACATTTTAATCGATATTTGCTTTCCGAAAAGTAGAGCTTCACTGGTTCCAATCTCACCATTCTACTAATCTTTATGTTTCTACAATCGATTTAAATTATTTACTCCTGTGGACAAACAGCTCACAAAAACTGCACAAAAGAAACCATTAATTCCATAATGTTGACATTTTGGATAGATGGCACCATCAGATTATTTGGTAATCAATGTGAGATCTTGTGTTCAAGTGAAACACAACTGTAAAAGATAAAACTAGGATACATTTTATTAAGAGAAATGCAATGGCTGGCTATATTCTTGATGACTTGCTGGCTATACTCTTGATGACTTGCTGGCTAAAGGAATGAGCATCTGAGTCAGACAAATTACAGAGTGAGCTGAACTCCAAAGGACAGGTTGAGAAGGTCAACTTTTAATAGGAGTGCATAAAGTATGAGATCTGGCTCGAGCTTGCCAAAGGGCAACACAAACATATTGAAAACATATCCAGGAAAAAGAGACAAAAGAATGCAAACAGAAGAGAAACTTTAAAAAAAATACAAATCTTGAGGTTGATGCATTTTTGTTTTAAATAAATTACATTTATAGTAGTCGTACTTAAGCAGTCTTAGAATCTAAACAGTGATGCTAACTCTTGGTGATATTTTATTCAGTAAATGTGTTCATTAATGAAGGGCAGTTGGAACATTATATTTTAAGGTTGTAATAAATGTCCTGGTACCAATGACAAATCATCTCTACTTAAAACTGTAAACCATATTCATGGGGCTATACCTTGAAACTAATCTTTCTCCTATTTGATAAATACAAGGCCAAGTTGACCCTATTGACAGCCATGCCATCAAATGGACTTCTACAGAATTCAGCCCATTTAATGCAGAGCACTGAAGCTCCTTATAACAGACAGTGAATCAGAAGTGGAGTCTTCAGCACCCTTTAAATTTAATGGGTTCTCTTTACCTATGGTAGTTTATACAGATGAAGAGTTGGTTGACCATTGTCCTTAGGCTTTTTGTCAGTTATGTCAAACAATGACAAGTGTGAAATTCTGTAGGGAAACTATCCAGACATATTTATTAATCCACTTCAGAGGTTTTGCTTTAGAAAACTGGTCTTCTGTTATTAGGTATGGAGACCTCTGCAGTCATTTTAAAACATAACTTCCTACCTCATTTAAAGCAGTTTTCCTTTAACCAAAAGTTCTGGGTATGAAAATTAGACAACAGAAGCACCTCTTGGTGCTCTATGTGATATAGCTAGATCTGACATTATTGCTTCACCTTCTGTTCGCCATCTCCTTTCAAGTCGGCATCACAGAGTAGAGTCAGCATGAAGCACCAATGAGCAGTTGTCTGAGTTTGGAGACAGGTGAAGCAAGTCAAGACCAGGAGCTATGTAAAGACAGAACAAGGCTCTTGTGGTGCAGTGGTAGTGACCCTACCTCTGAGGCAGGAGTTCAAGTCCTATCTTTTCCACAGGTGTGTCACAACATCTCTGAGCAGGTTGATTAGAAAACATAAATATAGAGTACTGGAGAACGCAATGACGGAAGTATTTTGGAGGAAGAAAGACTTGGCAGATGTACAGAGTCAATTGAAAAGTTAGCAAGATGACAGTGGTGTTGAAGGGCACCACAAAATCCAAAGCACAGGTTTATTCTTGACCTCAGGGGAGTGATTTTCGGGTTACTAACAGAGTTTAAAAATCCAGCACAATCAATGGCCATTCACAGGCTCAGCAGGAAACTGAAGTCACTCAGTCACAGCAGGGAAGGGCTGATCAAAGTTACGCAAAATATTACAAAACAGCAGGAAATCACAGACTGGATTTGGTACAGCATAAACAGTGTAGTCTGGCAGGTAAAGCATCTTGTTGGAGTTGAGAGAAGTCCAGGAATTAGAAACTAAAATTGAGGGAAGATCTGGATTTTTCCAGATCTTTTATACAGTTCAAAAAAAAATCAGATTGTTAAAAAAAACGAGTTTATTCCAATATACTCCAGTGCAGAAGCATGGTCCTTATGTCCAAATAACGTACAGGAATTTGAAGCCATATCCGAGAGAAACTGCACATTCAGGTCTTTACCAGAGCTCACGAGGGAAGATTAGGGAACAAGGTTCGAACTGTTATACACAGGACGTTTAAACAGTTGACTTTGATGTTTTAAATAAAATCTACCCATTGTTAGAATCAAAGGAACAAAAACACAAAAGAAAGAATTTAATGAGAGAAAGAACAATGAATGCCAGCAGATGGCTATGGAGAGACATACAATACCAGGAACTTCCAAGGGAACCAAGTGTCTAGGAGCCACTTTGAATCCACTAAATAACTGAATTCAATGACTTTACATGAGCTACCATTCCCATATTACTCACAAACTGCAACAAAATCATTTTGCCTTGAAGTGAGTTATATGTAACAAAAACAGAAAGTGCTAGAGAAACTGAGAAGGTCTGGCAGCATCTATGGAGAGAGAAACAGCATCACGTCAGACTCAAAATGTTAACTCTGTATCTCTCGCCACAGATGCTGAGTTTCTCCAGCACTATATTATTATTTCAGGTTTCCAGCAGTATATTGCTTTTACCTGAAGAAGGCACTCAATTAGTTCTCTGAAAGTTTGATTAAGAAATCAACTACAGGGATAATGGGACTGCAGGATATGATTGTTGTGCACACACTGGTTTAAATGTTCCTTAAAATGTCAAATCAAATACTGCACAAACTTTTGTTCATGAGGAGAAGAACTGTTTCACTGTTCAGGTGAGGTAGGATTGACAGCCTTTGACATCAAAGCCATATCCAAGGCAAAGCAGCCTGTTTGACTGGCATCACATCCACAAGCATTCAATCCTTCAGTCAGTAGCGGTAGTGCATATTATCTACAAGATGCGTTGCAAAAATTCACTAAAAATCATTAGGCAGCACCTTCCAAATCTACGACACTTCCATATAGAAGGATAATGTCAGCAGATACATGGGAACACCACCACCTGCAAGTTCCCCTCCAAGCTACTCACCATCCTGACTTGGAAATATATTGCCATTCCTTCACTGTCGCTGGGTCAAAATCCTGGAATTCTCTCTGAAGGCATTATAGGTCAACCTACAGCAGAGGGACTGCAAAGGTTCAAGGAGGCAGTACACTGCCTTCTCAAGGGCACTTGGAACAGGGAATAAATGCTGATAAGCCCGAACTGATGCCCGAATTGAACAAAAAAGATTAAAGTCCATCAAATTCTATGATGTATTAAATATTTCTGCCACCAGAGGTCCTCTACGAGCTTTGCAATCAAAGCTATTCAAAATATAAAGAAACATGTTTTTGTTAGTGCGATACGTTGAAAAGGTCGTGAGATGCAGAAGTAGCATCCTTACCTTTGAGGTAGAAGCTCTAGATTCGAATTCCACGCCAGGATTTGCTTGTTATGCAAAGTATGTTCATAGCATGGTCAGTTTGATTGACACACTGGATGCCAGGTGGAAAGAGCAGGGATTCCTGGTTAGGCACCCTGTAGAAGGCAATGGCAAGCCACTACAATATTTTGCCCATTACAGTGGACTGATGGAAGTCCATAGTGCAAATGCTCCAAAATCAGTATGGAAGAAAAGATAGACAAACACTACCTTTAATACAAATTTGAAAGCTAGCTATTCTCAAGAAACCTCATTGCCTAGAATCTTTTTAGAAAGTTAAAGCGACTTTGCAAAAAAGGAGGAATGTAGTTAAGGCATTGTGCAGGAGGTCTTTAGTGAAGCAGTTTTTTTAAAAGGTATGATAAAGAATATTTAAACATGTGCAAAATTAGCCAACTTTAAAATTAGAAACTGAAAGAACTTCAACTCCCACAAAATATAACAGAACAATGGACTCAGTCACTGACTCCTTTAAAAGAAACTTGATAAAGATCTATTTAAGAGCAGAATTACAGGTTGCAAAACCAAGAATGAGCATAGAGAATCATCATGGACAAGCAGTGTGCTGAGCAGAGACACGTGGACAAGGTTGCACCGCAACAAACTTTGTGGTCACAAAGCAAAGGGTAATGATTCCTCAGTATGACAGTCTTAATGCTGTTTCCTAGCAACAAATAAATATGTAGGATTTTCATGGTATCATTGATTTCAAACAAATGTTTTAAAATCTCTTACATATTATGGACTGTTTCTATCTGGTTCTTACTCCTCATCAAACAGGATTACCCTGCATTTGCACTGCAACTTTGACCAGAAATCTATGAATGTCTACCTATTAACTCCACGGAGGCTCTAAATGGTATTCCCTGGTCAACATCCCAGAAAGTTTTCTGAAATTCACTGTCAAAGTGAAATGACGGTAAACATTAAGCTTGGTATCAGGTCTTGAAGCCGAGCGTTTCTCAAGTGCTTAGTTGCTGCAATTACCAAGCCACCTCAAAATTATAGTTATTTTCTAAGAAGGTAGAGTTATAGGCAGTACATGCGCAAATCAAGATGTGCAGAATCATTTTTACTGTTCCCATCATCTCAAATCTCTCTGCTGGAATCATTTGGAGATTTACTTTGAGACTTCTGCCAACAGCGCAGTTGTGATTAAAACAGAATAGAAACCTTATAAGCAAGACTGAATACTTCGTTAGTCTCCTTTCTCAAGGCAGTTTATGGATTTAAGTAAATGTTTATACCTGCTGAAAGTATTTGGATTTGCATTTCTGGACAACAGCAACTCTATACACTTCACCACTTTTTCTTCAGACTCATTACTAGCACAGCCAGCCATCAACACTGTATATTGATCTACAGAATTTAAGAAAAGTATTCTGTCAAAAGGGAAAATACTTAGAATAGATACAAAACTACGAAACGAAACAGTGAAAGGAATATTGTGAAACAATTGTTGCAAATGTGAAAATTATTTATATTGTCAAAAATTAAATTAGTTTTACCTATTGCTTGCACCATTCCAAATCAGTGATTGATTTTCAGTCTTCAGGCAAAACATATAACCTGCATTTTTATCGGTTAAATGTGACATTGATGTGTTGCAAAATGAAATATTTAAAGTGAGATAAAATGAAGTGATTTAGACATTAAACAAATTCAGCATATATTTTGCAAAATATGTTAAATAATAAATCTGCTGATTGTAATCTTAATTCATGTACAAAATCAGTCATACAAGTTTTCTTTATAAATCAAAACTATTAAAAACATTTCAACTTTTATTCCATTCGTCAAAACATTAAAAGAACAATGTTATAAAATGGTTTAAGATAACAAGGTGTAGAGCTGGATGAACACAGCAGGCCAAGCAGCATCATAGAAGCAGGAAGGCTGACGTTTTGGGCCTAGACCCTTCTTCAGAAATGTTTGATTTCTTCTCTACTATGAGTTAGATAATCTTTGTGACAAGGTGCAATTGGCTACTACAAATATGAAGAAAGGGATGAACTATACTCTATCACCTTTTAGTGACTCCTTCTGGGTGATAACAGAGAAGAAATGTAAAAAGCAAAACATTTGTTAAATTGTACTAATTGTAAAAAAATTAACACTAGCATTTAAATTTTCTTTGGAGCTTATGGAAATTGTTCAACTCTGTTGCTGTAAATTGAGGAAAATTGGCACAAATCTCATTTGTCTGTCAATCTGGGGTTTCCATTCAAGTTATAGTGGCAAATCAGAGAATGAATGAGGAAATTCCCAATGCATACTGCATAAATCTTTGGTTCCAGTGCTATTAGCCTGTGTAGGACTTGGAAATTATGGCAAGATAGGTCATGCAGCTGCTGATTATAATGTCTACATGCTGTCAATTTGAGGAGTATACTGATCAGATACACCCTTTCCAGACCACAGTGCACAATATTTTGTGTGACAAGTGATCAAGTTGACAAGGTCGAAATTGCTCATCAGTGAAGGCATCCATTTGTAAACAACATAAACTTCCTATGTCAGTGTAGTTTTATTTTCACATGGGACAAGCTATTGACACTACATTAGTGTGCACAGCAGCTCTTTCTGTTGAGTAGGTTCACTTGTACAACCAGACAAAAAGGGAGAGATCTGAGCATATCGGCTTCATTGGCACTCTGAAAAGTATGTCACAGTATAAACTTCTCGTATTGAATATGATTGAAGGGCAGAATTTAAAGAGATTTGATTTAAGACTTGAGTTTAAAGGCTGACAGAAATGTGCTTAATGCGTGGAACATCATTTGGTATGATCAAGAGAGGCACAGATCCTCTTCTGATGCAGTGAGGACAACATCTTCAAGATGCTTGGACAACATTTTCAACTTTGTTTAGTGATTACTCTATGATGAATGCAGAGAA